TTGATTTAACTGGCGACGACATATTTATTAAACAAATATTTAGAATCTAGTTAGGTTAAGCAACCATATTACAATACGTATAAAAAGAATAATCAATGTACTTTCATCTACTTGTGACTATTAATCTGTTCATATTTTAATGCTAATGACACTGCTAAATTGAAAGACAAGGGTAAAGCTCTCCTAAGTTATTACAGTATGCAATTTTTGTCAGAAAAAACCAATAAAAATCGAGAATTGAAGGTTTCCATGATGATCTGCAGTCGTTATACTTACCGATTAAACAGTAGACTGATACATACTATCGCTATTAATTAAATAAGATAGCTGCGCAATACAGTCGTGCGAAACCAGGACTGGGAAACATGAGTATATGCACAACGGTTATGTAATTGCATTCAAAATATATTCGAGAATTTATTCAAACTGTATGTAATATTTTATTAATAATATCGATATTGTTAACTTTATTTAAATTCTGGTCATGGCTTTCAAAAACTCAGATTGCAATTCTCTAAATTACAATTACAAAAATGATTATAGTTTGAAATAAACACTTAGAATCTTTTGAATGTGTAAGAATTATATTAGTGTTGCATAATTATTGTTATAATAATATATATACTGTATATACAGTATAGTACATATATATAAATCAGCATCTGCAGTAAAACGTTGCTTGTACAAATTTGAAAAAATCAAGATATAACCTGCTACATCCTGGTATTATTATAGTATGATAAATTTAGGCAATGATCATCCTAACAAACGCATGCACACGTTAACACACAAAGTCACAAGGAAGTACCATCTAATTAGATGCTCAGATTTCATGACCAACATTTCATATTTCATACTCCGTTCCTGATATACCTACTATATATACATATTAAATAGTGGTTTCATCTTATTGCGCTCACATTCACAAAATATTGCAAGCAATTATACACAATGATAATAATATCACATTTCTTAACAACGATTTAGCAAAATAAAAGCAAACATTGTGTTATGCATACTTTTTACTATCAAAAACCTTTATATTTTGCTTTGGACTTTTATCAGATCCTGATTTCCTAGTATATTCTTTTTTCTTTGACAAATCTGACAGCCTGATTAGTTATATGCTCTTCTACATATATTTGATATTTAATTTTAATCTTCGACTTCTATGAAGGTGTTTTGTGAACTTCAACCAGTCTGATGGTATCATCAAAAATTCATGCTACCTCTTTATTCGGTGATTTTCAAGTGAGTTTCTGTAACCTCAGTTCCTTAGTCTTCTATACCCAATGGTCTTATTATAAGTTTGTACTAAAATCTTATATAACACCAGTAAACATTCTTCTATGTACATATAACGTTATAGTTCACATAGATGTCTGAGCTCCTAATGTTGGAAGGATTTGACTTGGTGTACCTGGGTAACAACCATATAAGGCCAACTGATTGACAGGAGACAGTTACTGTAACACAAATATAATTTCCAAATTTTGTTATAGGTGAAATTTGAACCTTAGACCTGCCACTTGGAGGATGATAACCCAACCACTACACTAGAATTACCATCCTCAAATCAACATTTTATAACTTTTTTATATAATATAAATTCATATATATTCAAAAAATATTCAAAAAATTAATTTATTAAAAAATAAAAAAGAATTAAGAAAGAAATAAATATAAGACTAATAATATTAAATTTAGAAAAATAAAAGAAAATTATTTAAGTAATATTACATTGCAGATCATGAAACATATTCTGTAACCGTTAAAGTGAAAACTTGAATTATAAGTAGTTTAAACCAACAAGATCAAGATCGATATTAAACGGTTTTTTAAGAGAATTAAATTAAAATTTAAAGAAATACGTAATATTACATATTGAGGTTTCGTTACTGGAATTTATGCGCAACACGATAATTGAAAACTGTATTAAAATTATGTTGTATTAAAAGTATACATCTTTAAAAAAAAAAAACGTATCACATGATTTTTAAAATCGCGATTTTCTCACGACCATCTGATCTTCCTATCAACCCTGCCGAATTCTTACAAATGTGGTTGGAATCTAATAATCGTAAATATTATCAAAGTTTTTTTTAATAATACGTATGATCTGTAGTGCAGAATTACATATTTCTTAGAGACTAACTTCTTTAGTAAGTTTGTGCACTTTAAATAATACTTCAAATTATAAAAATTAGCGCCGATCATAGCCGAACTAATATTCCGAAGAATAATAAGTTGTGTAACGATTTGAGACATTAATAAAAATTGCTACCGTTACGTATACGTACGTAGCACTTTAGACTTAAAAAAAAGTTCGCTGTATATTAAAAACATTAAAATATATAACCAAGATACCCTTCAAGTAAACTTGCCCAGAATAAAATTTTACACCAGAATATGTTACTTAAGTTTAAATAGATAAAAATTTAATGTTTAGCATATAGCCAACTTATTTTTATTAAAATTACATTTTAAGTAAACTTATATTAGTTTTCGTCTTTTATTATAATAACATTTTATACAAATATTTTTGGTTTTAAATTAATTTAAAACATCGTTCTGAGGAATTTTATTTTATTTTACTACTTTTGATCTATTTAATCGAATAAGTTAGTCTGTAGATGGAAAAGGATCTTAAAGTTCATGATAGTTTTTTTAGATGATTTTATTATAACTTTTACGGTAAAATTCTATGCAACATCATAATTATGTGAATTTATAGACAAGATTTTTTAGGCTGAAACATTAGGTGGAGGTTGTAGATCGGGCATCTTGAAGTGAAAATAAAACAAAAAATTAAACAATAAGTAATCTATTTTAAGCTTTAGATTATTAAAATTCACACCTTATGTTAGATTACCTGAATCATTGGTGATGGCGCGAAAAACTTAGATGCAGCGATTGAAATGCCCTCAATCAATGCTAATGCAAAAGCTCCAAAAGCTGCAGACCTTGCCGATGCACCAATACCACCTATATTTTATAATGATAAATTTAATAATGTTCATAATGTAACTGAATAATTTATTAACAAAAAAGAACAACAAAAACCTCTCGCCGCCAAGACACCTCCAGTTAAGAATCCACTCGCGATTAAGTTCCATGGATCTTCTTTTTGCCTTATACCTTTCAATGTACAGTCAAAAGTTGAAAATAAACCTCCCCATACAGCAAAATTTCCACCTAATACTGGTGCACGAGCCTTAACTGCTGTGATTGCACCAATTATACGCTCACCCTATCATTAAAGTTTAATAAAATAACGTAAATAATAATTAAATGGATTAAAATTGGTAAAATAGAATATGGAATGTATCGATAATTTTTACGTGTGGTCAAGACACATGAGAAGAAAAAGACATAAATTCAATTCATACAGCTTACCTTTGGTGAATTTTTTGCACCTTTTACAAAATGCCATATACCACTACCTATAGCGCCCATAGCAAACGCGCCTCCTGTATCGTTTAAAATTACCCATGGACTAAAATGTAATTATTTTTAGTATCGAGCAATCACAAAAAGTTGATGCCACATGTATAATTGAGAAAAAAAAAAAAAGAAGTATATTACCAAGGATCACGAGTGTAGTCTCCGTATCGTGACATTATTATAATATAAATATAAATTTATTACGAATGTGTTTTAGAAAACTAATTAACCGTGATATAAAGGTAATAGAAAAAAAAAAATAGGAAATTAAGGTAATTGTTCAGGTGATCATGTTGTACAAGTAATCTAATATTTAAAAAATCTCATATGTACACTCGATTTGAATACAGCAAATATGGAGAGTATTTTAGAACAACAACGCAAAGCCCACGAAGAAATCGAACGGTTAGAGCAGGCTATCGTTGATCAGTTTATGAACGATCCGAAATCTGTGAGTTATGAACAAATTACTGTTTTATGATTTATGTTAATGAATTCTCTTTTGTACCTATAGCATAAGGAAAGATTAGCTCGTGAACATCGCGTTAGCGATTTTCTTGATAGGATCAGTTCGAGAAGCAAATTTTTATATGAACTTTATATTGATTCAGACGGGTAACATAAACCAAATTTTTCTTAATCGTCTCCATTTCAAATATAAATATTCACCACTTTTTTTGATTAGGGCACGTAAAACTGAAATTGATGCCTTGTCTGGAACTTCAGAATTTAGCGAATTCTATGGTCGTCTTAAAGCAATAAAAGATTACCATCGTCGATATCCTAATGAAACAGTTGAACCTTTAGAGCTAGAATTTATTAATCAAACAAAATCAAATGGAGAAGAAGATGGTAAATTTTCGTTGTATGGGAAATCTTTCGGTTCTACGACAATTTAGACTTAACGATCATTAAACTGTTTTTTATCATAGAACTTGATAAACTTTTTTCTGGAGAAGAAGGGTGTGGTCGATTTTTAGACTTACATGCCCTCCATGAACAATATGTGAATTTAAAAAACGTAAAAAAGATAGATTATTTAACTTATTTGAGTGAATTTGATAATTTTGTTGATTATCCCAAGGAAAATAAACACGGAGAATACATTAAGTTCGTTTTTTTATTATCTTGTACAAAATTTACTAGTTATATATAGTAAATTGATTAAAGTTTTTTCATGTCAGATATTTGGAGGACTTGCGTAGTTATTTAGAGAGCTTTTTCAAAAGGGTGAAACCACTTTCTAACTTAGAAGATATTAAAGAAACGACTCAAAAAAATTTTTTTCAACAATGGGAAAGTGGAAAATTCCAAGGCTGGGAAAAACAGATCGGTTCAGACGAAGACAATGGCTTGTTTTGTGCAGCTTGTATATACTAAATTTCATAGGCTTTTAAACTTTGACAAATTCGAATATCTAAAATATCTAATTTATTAATTCGTCTTTAACCGTATTATATAGGTCGTAAGGCCTATACGAAACAAACCGTATTTGATGCACATTTAAAAAGTAAAAAACACATAAAAGCTGCTGGTGCAATGGTAGAACAAGGAATCATTTCTATAAACCAAGAAACACAAGATAAATTACTTAAAGAAGCGGCAAAAGAGAGAGATGACCGGGAAAAAGAAGTCGCATTTACAGAAGCGTTGATACGCAAATATGCGGAAATATTGAGTATGCAGCGAGAAGACACTAAAGCAAATGTGGAAAGGAAACGAGCCTTAACTGACAGAGAGCGTAGAGTAAGATATTATTATTTCAATTAAATCTTTTTTTTTTTCTTTCTAAATGTCTCATTATCACTATTTTCCATAATCACTTTTAGATGGAATTAGAAGCGGAAGAAGTAGATGATATAGAATCTGAGTCGGAAGATGAGGACAAAATTTATAATCCTCTGAAATTGCCTCTTGGGTGGGATGGTAAACCAATTCCATACTGGCTTTATAAACTACATGGACTTGGGGTTGAATATCCATGCGAAATATGTGGCAACTATGTTTACATGGGCAGAAAAGCTTTTGATAGGCATTTTCAGGTAATTAAAAATTGCATTGAAACCTAATTATGACATATTTGAAATACTTTAAATTGTTTCAGGAATGGAGGCATGCACATGGTATGAGATGTTTGGGTATACCAAATACGCGACATTTCCATGAAATCACGTTGATAGAAGACGCATATGCCTGTATGTATCAAAAATATTTAAGCTTTTATTGCTAGCTATTATGTATTTTCAAGATTTCTCAAACAATGTTTTAATTGATGTCCTAGTATGGGAGAAACTAAAAAGTACCGGTAAAACAGACGAATTCAAACCAGATACAATGGAGGAATTTGAAGATCAGGATGGAAATGTTTTCAATAAGAAGACTTATGACGACTTGAAAAGACAAGGGCTATTGTAATAAAAATAATTGTCCAAAGGACATTACTGTTCAGACAATATGGACACACGAATATGTGTATGTGTGTGTCCACAAATACCAGGTTTTATTATTAACCAAAATTATACCTAATAATAAGGCACAAATTCATTGAAATTAATAAAAATTTTAATGCGAAAAAAAAGTTTTTATCCATACAAAAATATTATTAAGGGGTCGGGTATTCTTGATATCACTCACCTAGCCGAATCAAAAAAGTAACCTTAACAAACACGTACCTGTCTTAACTATCGCTATCCCCAAATTAGTATTTGTGTAATCAGTTTCAACAATAATTTCGTTAATTATAAAAATTAATTTCGCGCTAACTATAGAAAACTGATTTTGGCAAACTAATTGTTGAAATAATTATTTATTAAGGATTAACTTGACACTCATACGAATATTATTTATTGGTAATAGATTTAATGCTTTTTCAGGATGTAGCATTAATAAAAAAAGAATATACATATATACAATATATGTATGTATAGCAAAAATAGATTAAAATGCAATTTATATATTGCTTCATTGTAATATATATCTGTATAAATATTTATTGATAAGTCATTAGTATCACTATTTGGGTTATTAACGTTAAGTACCGATATTTAGTTTTAAATTCCGGTATGTAACTAATTTTTTGAGCGACGCTAATAACAATAATCCTGAGTATTACTATTAAAAGAGTCAATGTGTGCACCATTATCAACTACAGTTAATTTACTTTTTTTTTTTTATTGTAGTAGAGGACCTAAGAGGTTTTTGGATTATGATGAGATCATCCGGAAGGTATTTTATTTCTCAGATCGTTTCCAAAAGATACGTGAGAAATTACTAATGTTGAAATAGTTTTTTAAAGAAAAAGAATAATTTAATTGATAACTACTATTTTTATATATAGCATAATCAACTCATTTTATTTTTAACTTTTAAGAAGTAACGATTGAATTACTGGTGTACAAAGATGCCTATTAAAATAAATTTTCATTCCACTTTTGTAATACACTAGTGTTGTTAGGCGAAATCATTTTGGGCAAATGGCGAAAGACGAAACTCCCCGGCGAAACTGGCGAAACCCCTGGCGAAAGGCAAAATCTCAAAACTTAGCGAAGATCAAATCCTCTAATACTTTGGAAAAGACTAAGCCATGTTGATGAATAAAATATTTTGCGTAGCTATTAAGTACAGCATGTGGCTTATATAAAAAATGTATAAACAAAGCGTAGCTTTTTGTTTGTGTTCAGATACTATTAAAAGAAAATTAGAATTCAACCATTTGATGAAAATAATTTGCGCGTGGCTCACATGAAAAATGTACAAAGTAATAAACAAAATGATAATCATTTGTTTGTATTCAATTACTATTAAAAGAAGCTAGAAGACGGGTTTTAGAATTTATAATTAAATATACTCAGTCTTGAAATTTAAAGTTTAAATATTTTCTTTTAAAATTATTTATCTATGAATTAATATTATTCATGTAAATAAACAAAAGTTTTAATTGAAATCTTAAATAAATTTATTATTAAATTGTTTTTTTCTTATTAAGGCCACACCAATTTGATTTTCTGTTTAACATAACATAGGATAGCCCATAGGAGGGGGGTGGGGCATTGTAAAAAAACCACACAAAAAAAAAAAACTGTAATTTTATTGGCTAGAAATAATGTAAAAAATATTGAATACACATAATTACTAATGCAGCAATTTGATTGGCTAATATTATGTGTTTTGACTCATATAAAATTCCAAAATCTAGGGGGGAGGGGGTTATGTTAAACAGATAATCAAATTGGTGTGGCCTAAAAAACATTAAATATCATATATCAGTCAGGGAATTTATCAAATTAGGAAATCATATTCTAGAACAATCTACAAGTAGATTCTTAAATTTGATTGTCTCTTATATGCTTTTTATTTCTCAAAAGTCTTATGTTCAAAAAAAATTTTTTTTAATAATTATCAAAATCAAATAAGTTTTGAGTATATAGTTTAAGACATTTAGTTTCATTATCCCAAAGAATCCTTCATGATAAACTCTTTGGATAAAAATAAATAAGACATTAAAAATAGGTATTTACTTCATATAAAATGTTTAGATTTGTTATTAGTTAATTTAAGATTGGTTTAAAATTTTGTATTAGTATTTTGAAGTTTTTAAGTTTATTTTATATATAATAATATTTAATTTTTTTTTTTTTTTTTAGTATTAAGATAATCTTTTTAGTCTTTTGACTTTTATTAATAACTTATTAATAATGTAATTTTATAAATTATTACAGAAGAAAGTACAATTTTTTTTTTTTTTTTTTTTTTTTTTCCCTTAGGCAGCCTTGCCGATCACCTTTATTAAGATTCTTGTATACATGTTA